CTCAGCACTGGCTCTTGCAAGGGAAAAAAAACTACTTTTGTTGTGCTTTCTGGAACAATTCCTGTGATAATGATGGTGTAACAAAAACAGGAAAAAAACTCCATCTCGAACATTGGCACAGCAGCATGCATGCTTGCCTGGAGTTTGAGCTTGCAGCACAGAAAGCAAAGCAGCTCCCAGCTATGCCAGCTGATCGAGCAGGTGTCTCTGAGGGCATGTTGGCCAGTCAGCGAGTTCAACAAGACATAATAGCTTCTATTCCAGGTGTATGCTATTGAATTCAGTTAGACTGCAAGATGGTGGGGTTTATTTTTTATTAAAAAAACCCTATTCTGGTCTCTTCATTTTTTTCTCACAGATGCTGATCGGTAAAATAAAACCATTTACAGTTCAGGTAAATGAATGTTCATGTTTGCTAAAACTCAAAGGTGCCTATCAATCAGTCCAAAATAAATAGTCTTTTTATTTCATTACGTTCAGGCAAGCTGTTGTTTGCGAGTTTGCTGCCACTGCAAAAGCAGCACTTCCCTAAATGATGGTAGAGCACATTCAGTGCTAGTCTGGCAGGCATCTTGCTCTGCACAAAGCTCCTTTCCTATGTCCGTACAGCACCATACTTGTGGGAGCTCAGCCCAGGTGAACTCTGCTGTAGCAAGTAAAAACCATTCCATAAGACTAAATCTGCTTCCTGTCAGGGTTTCTCAGAAGTTTTCTAAACCACCACAATTTGACAACAGTTGCAGTGCATCTTAAATACCCAGTCTTCCCTAAGTATGAAATAGGTATGTTCTTATTCTACCTTAATTCCTGACTTTTGTTGACTTGTTAGTGCCTTTTGTTCTATTCAGAGCATCCAGTTCAGCAACACCCCAAGTAGTTAAGCACCAAATGTTACTTATTTACCCTCCAAGGATGTTTTGCAGTAACTTAAAATTAAAAAACCCACAACTGTTGGCTCCTCTCTGCAAGTTGCTGTCTAATGCAAACAACCCTTAACCTCTTCTTTCCTCCCCAAATAGGCATCTATTATAAAAGCAGTTCTGGCTTCTGCTATCATCAGTAAACATCATGGCCTACTATATCACTGTTGCTGAGAGGCATTTCCCAGCCCTTTCCACGCTCAACAGGATGCAGGCAGAGGGTTCCACAGCTTGTCTGAAGAGTCTGCTGCTGCCTCTCATGGTCTGCTGCTGCCACAAGAGCTCAAAGCCACATTGACTGTCTCACCTATTGCTTATCTGATGTGATGGGGATTCTTCCTGCTCTTCACAGGAGCAGATGATGGGCAGGACCCCATGCCCATGGCAGAGTTGGTCCCTGGACCCTGCTGTCACAAGCACCAGCTTTGTCCTGCAGTGGTTTTTGCCAGCCCCAGGTGGTCCAAGGAGTGTGCTGGTGCTGCAGGACTGGTGGCATACAGAGACGGATACTGTGGCCTGATGGGCTTTACTTTGGGACATTTGTTCTAAGCACTAGCAAAACTTGACAAAAAAAAAACACTGATGCGTGGGGTTTTTTTTCTTTCTCGGACGTGTTTCAATGCTGCCTTTTGTTGTTTTAGGAGTTATTTGTTGCAAAATAAACACTTCACAAGAGTGATTAAAAAAAAAAAAAAACAACAACCAACCACCCCCACAAAAACAACCCCAACAACATTTTAGCACCCAGTCACGTCATTCCATACCCAAACTGGATGGTCACCAGTGCTAGCAGACCTTCCACCCTCCTCTTCCCTGCATCCCATTCTTGATGGGAAATACTGGCATTTTGCAAGACATTTTCAGCTTGGTTACCCTCTGACAATATACCAGGTTCTTCAGCTTTCTCCAGTCTTCCCTGTCCAGCCCTGGGAGAAGTGCCAGGCGCTGCAAGGAGCTGCCATCCAGTACCTGTGGGGATCCAGTGGGTGTTACCAGTTTGTTGGAGTCCAAATCTTGGTTTCATCTCTCACTCTACGTTTTTATCATGGATGATATTCAGTACTGAGGCAATCACTTTCTCACATATTTATTACTGTTGGCTCTTCTGGTTACATAAACCAGCTAAATTTCAGTGTTATCTTCTGACATATACAGAGATACCAGCTGGGGACAAAAATGTTCTGGGCAACTCTTCAAAGCAGTGGCAAGGCTTCTTGGTCATAGCAAAGGCTTTCCCTCTTACAGTGCCCACTATCTGTGTAATACTAAGGAAAAGTTATCAATTATACTTTCCAGCAGTAGCAAATGAAATACAAAAACCAAGTGAAATATGCTAAGTGGTATATTTCAGGGTCTGTTCTTTTCTGAATCCTGAGCATGGGCAGTATACTGAGTAAAAGTCATGCTTGTCCAACACCTGCTGGAGTTTATGGTAGACCACTGCTACAAAAACAGGGCTCTGCATGCTGCATAAGATTAGATAGACAGTAGATAGATAGATGGATGATAGACTTGGTAAAGTTTTCAGAATGAAATAAAACCAAAGGCTGCAAGCAGAAATCTCATTTCTCTCTAGGGTAGTGGGGTAAAACCATCTAGGTGGTCCCATCCCATGTGTTGATATACTTTCTCATCTGAAGAGCTGCTAAGCTACAAGTAAGGGTCAAAAGCTCTTGAAACATCTGACTTTCAAAGACTGGGTTTTATTATTGCTGGGTTCTTCTATTGTTGTTGTCTTGGCATGCACAAGGTACCATGGCAGAGCAGGGTCCCCCTGGGGACAGTTGCTTTGGAGGTACAGCCAGTGCTGCAACCAGCATGACTTGGGTATTGCATTGCCAGGCTGCATAAAACTGCCACCAAGCACGCGGAGTCAGCATGGTGGAGAAGAGTAAGCCTTTCCTCTCAAAGGATCATGCTTAGGCAATATTAACTCCTAAAACCCCAGTAAGGGAAAAACTATTAGCAACATGCTTGACTAGAAGGCTGCAGCCAGATAATATTCAAAGCATCCAACCTGGGCCATTGACTGGAAAAATAGTATCCATATACCATATGGAAACAAAAACTATGCAGTAGAAAGCATCTTTATTTGCTGTGTGATTCTATTTTCCACTGACTTTTCTTCTATACCATCAAATATGCATGGGTTTGTAAAAAATTAGTGTGTGCCTATACAGACATTTACATAAAAATGCCTCATTTTAAGAAAAAAAAATCATTTCAGACAGTTACTGGACTGAGTGCAGTCATTAAGCATTATAGACTGATAGCTTATTGTTCACTTATGTGATAATTTTACTTCCAATTATATCTGGGTAATGAATAAAGACAGTTAAGACTTTAACCTATTTTCAGAAACCAGAGTTCTATCAACATGCAGTTATTTATGCTAATGAAAATAATGATCCTTTTATAGTGCTTGTCACTGAAATGGAATGATGTCCTGCCAACTGTGCATGTTTGCCAGTGGCTACAAATTAATCAGCTAAACTGGAGTGGTAATTGGAGTAAAGACAAGTCAAGGGGCAGCAAGGCCAGCTCTGGCAGAAAAGCTTTTGAAGATGAATACCCTGTTCAGCACACAAAACAAAAGAACTTGTTTATATAATGCTGTTATTTAATTAAATTTAAGCAGCTGTTTCATCAAGAGGTCGCTGAAGATGAATGTGGAAGGTGATGGGCAGGGGAATCAAAATGCGATGATGATTGTGTTATACTGGATTACACTGTACATTTCCCTCACACCTGCCTAATGACATGGTTTCATATAGCTCCTGATTACAACCTGCAGACAGACACCAGACTGTAACCCCAGCATAGAATGCACACAAGGACCCCGTCTGGAGATGCTGACTCCAGAGGTCAGTGTTTCACTGAGCACATACAAAGCTCTGACTTGGTGGTCCACATGTGCCTGCCCATGACATATGTCCCTGTGCCTGGATGCTGAGCAGACAGGGGACATCCTCAGCATCCTGCCTTGGTTTGTTTTGGCTTCCTGCTGTAAAGCGTAGGGGTGGAATACAGGAAGTGCTTGTGCCTTGCTTTCCTCAAACAGCCTTTTTTTTTTTCTTTTCTATCTTCCTTTTTTCAGCCTCCTTCTTGCCCCTTTCTCTGCTGAGGTTTTTTATTTTGCCTTGTAGGCACAACTAGTAATCGCTTTGAGCAGGACACGTAACTAAGCAGCGGTCTGCGCTGAACATTTCTTGCCCATCAGTGGTGGATTCTTCCCGACAACTGCAGCACTGTGGCTGGGGTGAAGCTTGCAGTTCATCATGATAGTCCCATAACATGCTACAGAAGAGGGATAAGTAAAACTTGAAGTCATCCTCCACGGGCCGAAAAACCTTCCTGCTCCCCTTGATGCTTATCCAGTCTGAAAGGTTCTTCCTGTTCCCTGCCCCTCAGCCTACCCTGATCTTGAGCGAAGACTAAAGCAATCATATGAAGGTTTTCCTTAGCTGAGGGCTCAGAACCTGTGGTTGGTTGAATAGGAAGGAGCAGCCATTGATGCGAGCCTGGAAGTGTCATAGGAATAGAAGGAAATTGATAATTATTCATGCATATGACATTTTAAAACACACTTTTAAACTCCACGGTTGCAAAGGAAAAAGTGGAAAGCGTGACACTAGTCCATAAGGCAGAGAAAAAAATAAGCCAGCCTTTTGCCTTCCCCAAGTACCCCATGATTCTTTGCAATGACCTTGCATTAACACAAAATTCAGAGTTCTGCCCACAGAGGAGTTTGGGATGTGAATGCTGAAGCCTTACCTTGGTTTTTGGTCCAGTCTCAAATGAGCTCAGATCTCATTGGTAGCCGTAGACTCCCTGCCTTGAGAGACACAAAGAGCAAGGAGCTTTGCTAACGCCTGTCTTGGGCACATTTAGTAAATACTAAAGGAGTTTTCAAAGGCACATTTTGTTGAAGAGTCTGGTTTTGAAATTATGAGAACCTTAAGCATTTTTGCAATATTAATAATAATTAAAAAACTGGCACTGGTTGAGAAAGTATTCACAAGGATATCAATTTCATTCAGAAATGCTATTTTGTAACAGTCAAAACACGTTACGGGAGTATTTCATTTGGACTTCCATCTTTTATTTTGTTCAGCCTCAAAGAAGATTTCCTTCATGACAGATGTAGAAGCTTTTTGCTTACAGATGAAAAAAATAAATTTCCAGATTTAAATTTTCCAATGAAATGTATTACAAGCAATTCACCTACTGCGAATCGTGTACCCATTTCCCTGTGGCAAACACATAACACTTACCTGACGAGAAACTTCCCCTGTCACAGCCTCAACAGGAGCTTTGTCATTCACCCCTATGAGAGAACTTTCTGTAGCCCTTGCAAGAACCGCGCTGCTGTGCGTTGTTAAAGGCAGAGACCACACTGCATCCCAGGAGACGCCAAAGTCAGTCTCTTGTGAATATCTTTGTTTAATAGCTCAGCAATTTTGATCTGTGCTGGAGGGGAACAAGATGGGAAAAGGCGCTTTGCAGTACTATTTAAAGACTACTTAACGCACTATTGACAGGTCACTTTTTATCAGAGTGTCTTTATGCTGTTAGAGCCCAAATCCTATTCCTCTTGGTGCACAAAACCACTTCCAATCTAAGAGGGCATTTTGTGATCCTTAAATTTAATTGCCAGCCCCCAGTGTCTTAGGATGGAGACCAGTGGGTATCCTGCAGCCTTGTGCTCAGCAGCAGCAGGTGAGATGCTGCTGTCCTTTGTGCCAGTGAAGGTGAACTCCTGTAGGATCAGGCCTTATTTGAGTAAAGCAGTGTAGCATATCGCATTAAATTGGCACCCCTGCCTGCTCCTGTGAGCTTGGCGCTGTGGAGTTTTCAATAAAATGTGAGTAATTATTTTATAAGGTGTATAAAGAGCTTATTCAAGGCACATGCTCATTAAGCTCTTTCAGTCGTCATTAACATCAACCCCTAAAGGACAACAATGGTAATAATGCAATATGGGGCTGAAAACTGTGACATTTAATAAGAGAGCACCATGGAGTGATTTGAAAACACTAAGCCTCTCCTGCAGCTTTCTGCTAGGGTTAGGAGAATGTGAATTCTTGAAATTAGTTAATGATTCTTCTATTACACTTGGACTAATCTGGAAGGTTGGTACTTAATTGGAATGAATTTAGCATTCGAGATTGATTTTATAGTGATACATGAGAATGAGTCGTCATTCCAGATCAAAACTAAGAGGGCAAGGAAAAGATGCTTTGTTTCAAGCAGCAGCACAAGCCACCCTCACACAAGGGTTCTCTAGTGGTTCTCCAGCTGCAGAGGGGCTGGGAGTAGCACTGCACTCTATGGGAAAGGTTAACCCAGAGGAGTTAGCAGGAACCTCCAAGGGTCACTACACCAAGGGACTGGTGTGCTCCTGTTTGTTCTGCACCACAGCAGCAGAACAGGTCAGATCTAATAGACTGTTCTAGATTTGCACTGGAGTACCTGGCATCAAATTTGATCCTTTAGGCTGCTGCATCATGGTGGTCCCCAAATCGTCATGGCTCAGTGTTGCCACTGCTGTCCCCTGTGAGCAGAGACCAGTATGAGGTCATGGATCTTTTCCTTCTACCAGTCTGGAACTGCTCTCTCGGCTTGGTCTCCATCTTTCCTGCAGGGCATCAGGGCTGCAATATCCTCTAGACCAGCCTGTTCTCGCCCACATGATCTCCTGCATTCAATGAAAAAAGGTAATTCTTCTCCTTCCCTGGCCCTCTGTGAGCAGTAAGATTTTCTGAAGGATACCAGTGAATCGTGTACTTCCAAGGAAAAGCAAAACATGTACTCATCATTTCCAGTGTTGCAGCCGGAGCAGCCCATCACAGTACCCGCTGCTCTGCACCTCCACTTTGCCCCTGTCTGAGCTGCTGCCTGTGCAGGCAAGTTCTTTTAGCTCAGGCAGACCTACAGGAAACCGTGCCCTTGCAAAGGAGAAATGCTCTATCTGTGTAAGGGCTGATCTTCAGGCCTGCTGGGATGCTGCGTACAGTGACAGCTAACCAGCCGTCAGCTGCATCTGCCCCACAAGTTTGACCGTTACCTGAAAAGCAGAGGCCAAGGGACAGTACTCGTTTTGCAGGTGCAGCACCCTGTGTACTGCAAGTTTAACAGCAGTGTGGAAATGTTCACAAAAAGATAAGGAAGGAATGGGAAAGGAAAGGAGGGCCATTAGAAGTGGTTGTAGCTGACAGTTGAGCCAGAGTACAATATGCAAACCATGGTATCAAACCCTGCTCCTGTGCTTATCCTGTGGGTTGTGTCCTCCCTACCAGCACCTCCAGCACCACCCAAGAGACGTGCAGACACCGGCACCTCAGCACTTGCTGCTTTCTCTCCCATCAGGATCAGCAACAAAGCTCCCCCTGGGCATTACAAAAAGGTGGCTGCTAATGAGCACACAGCTCTGAAAGTAAGGGGCTGGACTGATAACAAAGGTAGGAAGCAGCATACACCTTCCTCGGCTCTAACAGTGCTAGGAAACCTTTTTCACACGATGGATAGGTGTCACCCACAAGGGCTGCTGGAGCCCAGATGGAAAAGCAGCACTAACTGTCTAATCTCATCCCCAGCCTCAGCTCCCTACTCAGTAGAGCCTGAGCACAAGAACCGCTCATCAAGCTGAAGAGCCAGCTTGCAGTGCCAAAGGAGAGGCTGGCAAGAGTCGTGTAAGGATTAAATTCAGTGATGGGAGGGGACAAGTAATGAGGGTTAGAAGTTGAACCAATGGGTCTCTACACATTTGGCTGCTCCAAGGTCAGCTTCTCTTTTTTTTGTTTCCTCCGGTATCTTTAATATCCTCCTTCCTCTCTGACACAAATCATTGATCCCTGCTCAGATGCTCGGCTCCTGTATGATTTTAGAGTAGAGCTGAAGGCTACAAGGTTACTGAACAACAAGCAGAACCTGCTTTATTGCCAAGTATTTAATATCCTGTTTCAAGCAGTGGAAGCTTAGAGAAAAAGTATGGCATGATCCTTCTCCCAGCATATCCACTGTGCCTCTAGCATAACGAAGGTGAGGAGAGGTGGGAGGTTCAGAGCCATCAAATAAGAAGACATCTTCTCATATGAGTCCCTTTTTCCAATAAATCCGCACGTGAAAAGACATTCACACTCAAAACAAGGCCAAAACTGCACAGTTATGCCCATCACTCCCAATATTACTACTTGCTCATTTCTTGCATATGTGCAGTATTATATGGCAGTAAGAGCAATGGGGCAAAGAACTAGTTTCAGAGTTGTCCACAAAATGCCTAAAAGCTTGGACTACTATAAAAAATAAGTATTTATTTATAAATACATTGTGTGAAAAGAAGAGTGTTTTTTCTTTTTTCTTTTTTTTTTTTCCCTAATAACTGATGCTGGGTTTAAACCTTTTGTTTATATTTTTGTTAAGCTCTTTGCCCAAAGATGGATTTTTTTTTCTGACTGAAATTACTTCTCATCTGCAAAACGTTCTGTCTACCTTGCAAGAAGGTCTTTTGCTTGTGACCTTCAAAGCAGAGATCATGTTGTCCAAAAATTATTTTGATCCTCTTGCTTCTAGGATACATGTAGATTTGCCCTGTGGAAAGCCGTGTATATTGCATATTCACCATGGCCTCATGCTGTGTACCATCATTACTACAACATCCACAAAATCTATTGTGATCAGAGTGTTCTAGGACAGGGGTTTTTAAGGATCCAAGTGAAAAGCTGCCTTTGTCAGAGAGCATGTAGCTTGAGGAACAGACATTTAAAGATGACTGTGGAGGAAATTTTGTAGTGCCATGAATCTGCAGCAGCACATGGTCCCAGTAGCTCATTTCATGGTGTGATGCCTCTCAGGGTACTCCTACTCTGCTGCCCTCTGGTGCCACAGCAGCATGGGTGGACCCCTCACCCTTTACACGCTGCAGACCCCCATGTGCCAGTGCTTCCCAGCAGTTCTGCAGTGCCAGTCGGGCTGCACATCCTGCAGCAGCCATGTGTCCAGGCTGGATCTGTCCCCAACACGCCCCGCACGTGGCTCTGGGACACCTCACTTCTGAGAAGTCCACAGCTTCGTGCTTATCAGAATCATTCCCCAAGTTATTTCCCCATGTGTAGGAACTGGATACGGCTCTGGTTCAACAAGGTATTTAACCATCTGCTGAATTAATCCGTTCCCTCAGCTGGAATGTGCAGAGGAGACAGCCTGAGCACTCAGCGCACCCCACAACTAACATTAAACCTTTCCCAAGCAGAGAATGTGCCAACCTCAAAATGGATTTTGTGTCACCTCCATGGCAGCCACCTGGTCAGCAGAGAAGTCCCAGGTCACACAGCTCTCAGCAGCACTGCCACCTCTTAGGTTGAAGCTGCAGACTGGTTTTAGCCCTGGAAAGCTGCCCGTCATTGGTTCAGCCAAGATGATTGGCACTGCACCTGAGTCACAGCCAGCAGCATCACTTCAGACTCCTCCACAGCCTACTTCTGCTCAGCTGGGATATTTTTTCTACAGCTGAAAAAAAAAAAGGCTTATTTTGAATAGCAGGTCAATTGATATTCAAAACAAATATATGCTGTAGTTTGTTGGAGCCAAAGGCTAAACATGTATTTCCAGCTTACCATTTTCTGTTCTTAGGATGTTCATTTGTGGACAGGCCATTGCGTACCGTATTTAGCAGTAAAAGTGAATTTGAAAAAAAATTACATTTTAAAGTAAAATGTGGTGAAATTTACCTAGAGAAACATTTGTGTAGCTATAGACTGACAGGAAAGGGAGATCACTTGTGTGAGTGAAAAGTATGCATGAGTAAAAACAACCAGTGCTGAATAACATGTATATAAGTATACATAGAAATTCAAGGAAAAAAGACATTTAGGCTGAAACCAGTGCATGTATGTTTGCTTCTATTTACACTGTATTTGGAAAATATAATTTTTAACAAAAGACAACTCGAGAGACAGAGGGGGGTGTATATATATATATATATATATATATATATATGCTTGCACACAGGACAGATGACAAAATGTCACAAATTGACTTTGCCACTAAAGAAAAATCCTCACATATTTAATGCTGAGTGGTTTTCATTGCCCTTTGTTGAAGAGATCTTTTTCTGGTCATAAAACTCTTGTTTTAGCCATCTCAATCACTAACAGCTGTCTATAAAATGGGACAGTGTTTCTCCTGTTAACACTTTAAACCCATATAGGCAGCTGCCACTGAGAGAGATGTTCTGTAAAAGCTGGATTCAGATGTTAAATCTTTTCTCAGATCCCGAGCTCCTCTAAAATCAGATCATACTGTATGTCTTAACATTAGGACTCCGTCAGACCCTGAAGCTGAATGCACTAGAAACCCGTGCAAGAACTGGAGACAGCTGTCACAGATGCTCCTTGTAAGCAAATTACCAAGCTGTGCCCTAGACTAGCATCTTTGGTTTGTCTCTATGTGCAGCAGGGGAGCAGCAGTTAAAACAGCAGTAGCACTTCATGGGTTAAACTGAAGACTCCATGCAAATGCTCATGTACCTGAATAGCTCTAGTGAACTGAATTAAACTACTGACAGGTGTGGTTGCAAGAATAAGGTCAGCAGCTAATGCCCAGGCAACAGCAAGAGAACTAGGTAAAACCATGCCTTCCTATGGTTTTACATGGTAACTGATTGGGGCTTGTATTTCAGATACAAGCAGAAGCCTTTAAAGTCTTACATAATTCTGCAAACAAAATTAGCTGCTTCCAGAGTTGTTCACATAATACAAGGAAATATGAGTGGCTCGGGGTAGGACATGCTGCTCACCTCGGCACTGCAGGCAACAGATCAAGCAACCTGTGTGCCCCAGTGATCCTTGATGTGGGGCAGGCTTGGCACTGCAAACTCCAAGTTCTAATCAGTTTGGCACTTGTATTTAGTTTGGTCTATTTTGGGGTTCCTGTTTTTCAGGCCCACCTTTAAAGAAAGAACAGTTTTCAGAGAATGAGCAGTTAGCTCTCGTTGTCAGTGAACAATACTTTATAAATCATCCCTGGTTTCCCACTTCCAGAGTCCCCATTTGTTTCTAAGGACATAAGTCCTTTGAGCTTGGACATCCTTGCAGTTCTCCCAGCAAACACACAACCAACACCCCACCTGGCAGGTTGTGTAAACCAAAGCTGAGCTCTGGGCACACTGCTGACCAGACTGGATGCTTGTATGTACAGGTAAGTACCCATTTCCTCACTCCTGAGGCTCCAGGGTGCAAGGAGCACCAGCTGAAAATGGAATGCCTGCCTCAGACCTCCACTGTCTGTAAGTTACATGGGAAAAATTGCCTTGTTTAGTCCATTTTTCGAAGTAAACTAATATATGGAAACCAAAAAGAGTTTCCTTTAGGTTATAAATATCCTTGGGCAAAGAGCACAAGGAGCTCCATGCCGTTCATGATGTCCCAATAAACTGTTCAATTAAAGATAATAAATAATAACAGAATAATAAATAAAAACTATGTAAACCCACATTGACTGCAGAAATATTTGTATATTGTCATACTTAAATGGAGCTTAGTCCAGCTTGCCATGGCAGATGATCAGTTCTTAGGGAGCTTTCGGAGCTGTTGGGTTCTAGAAGGTCAGGTTTCTTTTAGATCTGGACATCCTAATTTAATTCCAACTAATGCCTCCTGTATGAATAATTCATTAGTATTTCTCAGTTTGGAACTAAACTTCTCAGAGAATTTAGTAAGTGTGAGTGTTGCTGCAGTAAACATATGCTGATTATTTTTTTAGAAGCTAGAAAATGAGGTTATTCCTCAAAAAGTGGGTAAAATAATTAAAATGTAAATTGAAATAAATTATTCACACTACTAAATTTAAATAAATGACTCAAACACCTAAACTCAATTAAGGCATGTTGTTAGTTAGAATACTCGGTATTGTATAGCAGATGCACAAAGCCAAGAACTGGCACCAAAAAAGTGTTCAATGTGCATGACTGTTTTATAGGTAACAGAGTGTATACCCTAAGGGCCTTGAATATTACATTAAATTATACATTTCTAATAAAGAAAATATAAATGAATATGGAACAAATGTCGACTTTCAGCTTAAAACACCAAATACTTCTTTCAAGAGCGAGCTTTACCATTGCATAACAGTTGCAATATTATCTTGTTTAATGGCTTAAACACTGTTGTCAGCTAAATAGCTGTGTGTGTATGCACGAGAAGGCATAAGTGCCATTGGCAACTGTTGTGTAGTGTTATGGAAACCATTCTAAAATAAGACCACATTTACTGTCACTTCAAACTTTTAAAATTTTAATAGAAATACTATATTCAGCAGAGAAGCCTTATTAATTTGCTGTAACTTTTCTTTCTTTTTATGGCTCACTTGCAATCACAAAAGCAAGCTACTGTCGAAACCTAGATATGGGGACAGAATATTCCTAACTCTACAATGGGTGCCTAGTGTCATGAGCAGGACTGAGGGGGAGGAATCTGGCAAGCACTCAGGGTATTTTCTTTGCCATGGTTTTATAAAATACGGTATCACATGTGGGAAGTTCATGTATATATAGTATTTAAGCCTACAGCCTAAGCTCCAAAATAGAAGGAGTTCTTTGTTTCTTTTTTTGGATGAAGAGGGGGAAGAGCAGCTATAAAGAAGCTTTGTTAATGTACTTGACATACCATACCATCAGTCCTATTTGGATGCACAGCCTGCCTTCAGACTTTCTGTGGGATGGGAAGTTTGAGCTGTCCCTGTGGAAGAGCGCTTTGCCCATGCCGGCTGTTCTGCTTGTCTACGTTGCTGTTCAACTGCTGGACATACACACATAAAGTACTTTCAGCAACAGAGGAGATTACACACTGGGAAAGAACTTCTGAGAGACTTTTTCCTCTGATCAGGTTTGAAGGTAAGATGTAAGCCAGAACTGGTCTTCTGCAAAGCAAGAGAACAGATACTGACCTCAGCCCTCACTGGACCCATTAACCACCTAGCGAAGGTGCTGCACATGAACCATTTTCAGTTACAGCACCTAGGAGTAAAGATCCAAATCCACAAGTACAAGTGAGGAAAACAGTGTGCAGACATTTCAGTCCAGGAAACCAAACTAAATAGGGGCATTGTTTTGAGAGCCCATTAGTCTTTAAGGAGAGGGAGCAGTGAGGAGTATCGGCTCATTCTCTCCCTTGAACTGAAACAGCAAGCAGCCTGAACCTGCTCCACTGACACAAGTACTCAAAGCAGCTTGTTCCCTCAGACAGCAGCTGAGTGAATAGGGGTGCTGCAAAGGGGCTTGCAAAATGCAGCCTACTAAGCTCTGATCCTTTGCCTCCAACATCAGCACAGGCTTGGAGCCAGCTCAACACAGAATTCACTGGGGAGAGCTTCCCCTTAACACCAGCAACTCTGGGGGAGAGCCCACAGGATCTGAATGGTGCCTTAATAAATCATACAGACCCCATCTGATGGGTGGTAAGAAGAAGGTCTTAACAGCCTTTGCCTTTGCAGAGGACAGCTCACAGCAGCCTGTCCTTATTTTGGGACTGCCAGGGAATCCTGCCATAGGGGAAGGAGGAGGAAGGGGGATTTGTGCCCAAGCCCAGCTGGAGTGAGTTGCCATATCCCACAGGGAGCTGTAAAACTCCTCTGGTGAGGCTGGCATTTCTCCTGGTTTAACTCAGCAGCCAGGTCTTTCCTGTAGGAAAGACAAGGAACCTTTATCAGAAAGGAAGACTTGAGTGCCAGGAGTGAATTAATCTCTTTCATGGTAATTTTTGCTTATCTTTAATGTGCTCTTGAATAAAGGGAAAATACCTACATCAAGGACCAGTCTTGACTTCACTATTGATATACGAGTGGTAATAATCCAGGTGTATGCATGTAAAATGCAGTCTGAACCAGTACAGTACACAGGGGGTCCTAAAGAAAGTTGGCTTTATAAAGCAAAACACCACTATGAGAAAAATCAATTAGAAAAAGGAAGTAAGACAGAAAATATGAGAGCTTTGTAAGAACTGCTTAAGGATATCTTACTTTAACAGGAGTAAGGAGGTTGGATCTGTGTAAAAACACAACAGAAGCTCAGCATAATAAATCAAAAACCTCCACACCAGGAAGGGAATGCAGCCATAAAAGTAAGGCTTGCCAATAAGGAGGCAAAAAATGAATTTGATAGGAAAAGAGGACAGATAATTGACAACAAAAATGCACAGTTGAGAGCATTAATAAGAAAGCAGTTTTAGCAAAACATTTCTGGAGTGAAAAAACTCAAAACCTTGAAACAGACCAATAACTCTGCTCCCAAACAGAAACAACAGATATTTCTTTTTTATTTAGTAACAATGCAAGAGAATTCAATAAAGATGTCTGTTCTGTACTGGGGAGGAAGGATGATGTATTTGTTATATGATTATAATAATACACTTTCTATTCCTACTGTAACTAAAGAGGATATTAATCAACAGCTACTGTAGTTAGACATACTTAAATCAGAAGTTCTGGGTAATTTGCATTGAGGAATTTTGAAGCAGCTGGCTGAGGAGCTTTTTTGGCAGCTGATGTTGATTTTTCAGTAACCCATGGACAAGGGAGAGTTCCAGAAAACTTAAAGAATGTGAGCTCCTTTTAGTTCATCACAAAGTAGGGGCAGGATGGCTGGGGTAACAGAGGCTGTCAGGCTGACATCAGGCTGGGAAAATAAAGGAAAACCTCGTATTTAATTCAATTAAGAGAGGCTGTAAGGTGCATGCTACTGCTCATGCTGATCAACAAAGTATGAAAAACAGATCTTCTTGAAGTAACTTTAACCTTTTAGAGAGATTATTAACTTGGTTGATATAGGAAGAGCATTTCATAAATATACTTCAGCTTCAGGAAAACATTGCTATACAGCTGGCAAAATAAAACTATGAACTTAGAAAGTTTAAAAGAATATAAATCAATAGGTGTACTAAAAGGTCAAGCAGAACAGAAAAATACACAATAAATTGGTTATAGAGTATGTAACTGGAAAGGTAAAAGCCACAAGAAAGCAGGAACCTCTGCTGCACAAAGTAATCTATGGCAGAACCCACATTCCCTCAACTTTAAGGAGCCCAAACTGTGTATATTCCAGACATATATTTCAAGTTGCTAACATTGACACTTCCTAAGCAGAACAATTTAATGAAGGTTGTGATAGTTTTCATCACTAGGAATCTTTATATTAAAGGTGGATATTTATTCCATCTGAGGCTACAGTTCCACTATCACTACTGGAAGTTAATAAAGCAGACAAAATGTTTCAAGACCAGCAGGAAACATAGTTTGCCCCTGTGGCTCTGGATGCTCTGTTGGGTTACCACATGTATATTACACTTGGAGACCCTCACCTCTCCCAGCTTTCTCTTCTAATTGCTTTTTTTCCAGCATGTGGCATTGACTTTTGCAATAGTACCCTAAAAAGTTTATTTATAATGTACTAAAAGATGCAGTCTTTGTAGCTGAACAGAATCGACAGTAGCAGCATTTTGGGCGATGAAACTGCAGTGCACCAAGCTTTGCAAGTCATGCTTTACTTGGCTTGGGGGTTTTTATTTGAACTTAAATAGATCTTATTTATTTTACATCAAAGAACAGTGGAAGCAGAAGTGACTAATTTGATTGCTCTTGCAGAAGCTATTCACCCCCGCTCCTAGAAATTAATGTTCTCCAGTGTTATTTATGTCAATGTTCTCCAGAGATACAAATTTCAGCCAACCGTACAAAATCAAACCTCTTTCCCAGGTGAATTTCACTGTATCAAACTGTGACTCTTAAACAGTAAACAGATGCTGAGCATATGAGCTTTAGGGACAAATCAGCTGACCTTTAATGATTCTTTAAGCCCGTCCCTCATTTTCCATCAATAGCATATTTATTGATCACATAGCTGGCTACTGCTGCATTCCTCTGGAGAAATTCAGTGTCAGAAAGGCCAAGAAAAATCTTTAAAGTGCACAGCTTAATTCCCTGGTCTGTTGTCATCAAAACTGAACCTCTGAAACTGCACTTTACTAACTAAGAAGGAGTCTCTTCCCTTGACCCTAATGTCTTGGTATTGCCACTTTGGCTTCCAAAGTAAAATCTTACCTTCTTTTTAAACCTATATGTATGCAGGTGATCCAGTGTGACTCCCCAGACTCACATCACTGGGAACTAGGATGCATCAATTCTTCAGGAGCTTTCACTGGAGATTAATCTATGAATTATGTCATCTGAGAAGACTTCAGTGAGAATGTCACCACTGTGATGCCTTACATCTGTATAAGCTTCCCATGAAGGCAGCTGCCAAATGAAAGAAATAAGGAATAATAATAAGGCATGAGAACCATCTTGTATTTTTCCATCCAATTACTTGGTCCGTCTGCATGCATATCAGGTGTAATATTACACCATTATTGCAGAAGAGTTGGTTGGTACTCACAAAATAGTTTGAGAGCCCTCTGGCAGTAATTACCATGTTAGGAACAAGCTGAGAAGCGGTCACAAATTAAACAGAAAGCCTGCTGACCCTGGCCTATCGTGCCAAGGCTCAACATATCATTCTGGTGTATAAGTACTACAAGAGGCAATCATCCAACACACTCACATTGCAGTGCAGGATGGTGAAAATATGGAGAGCTGAATTCCCAAGCAGCTCCATCACTCAGTGGCCTAAAGGGTCTTTTCCAACCTCAGTGATTCTATTCTACGATTGTTTGAACACGCACATTCGCTTTAGACTTTAAGTATTCAAATGAGTAAGAAAACCCTGTATTTGCAGTATGCATTTCACATACAGCTCCTGCTGAACACACAAAGTGCATGCAGTACGTCATACACCACCTTCAGTGGATGTATACTGAATTTTGCCTCTTTTGCTAATGCTTAAACTCCGTTGCCTCATGATGTATTGCAATAGTACATCACTGGAGTGATGACAATCTGATGGTGTATTATCCTCATTTATTAGCGGAATATCATCACTGGCATATTATTGCAATGCATCACTACAGCAGCAGCCAGCAGGAATATAGCTGCAAGAGAGCGGTGTTATACATTTTACTAATTCCTAATTGATAGCTGTAGAATTAGTATGACAAGGAATCACCATATACCCTGCTTTCCTCTCATTCACATACTTGCCCCATGAACTGGCATACGTTGTTTACTATTTTCAGCACAGCCTGTTGTTTTCCAGGTCTGAATCATTTCCTTGACGAAATTTTAGATTGGGACCCTCATTTTGAAAGTTTTGTTAGCAATTATGAAATAAGAACCAAAAGAAAAATGGAAATCTGATCTTAACTTTCTTGTTTTATCATATTTATCATATTTTAGGATGGGTTTTGTGGCCCTGACTAGGACATTGTTTCATATTACCCAAGGTATTATACAAAGACTATAAAATGGACAAGCTGTTGAGGTATGACACCCATTTACAATGATTTTGGTTGTGGGATTTTTTTTTTTTTTTCATCTACATGACATTTTAAAATTAAGTATCTCAGTTGCTGCCAAAAATGAATTATAAACCCCAGTATAATCCTGCCACTCAACCCCTCAAACTGGCAAAATTATATCAGATACCTAAACATCTTCATGAAAACTGAGAGTGCTTTCTCCCATCAATGTTAATTCTGCCTATCTCACCATGCTTTGCACAAAGCCAGAGTGCACTTACATTGCAGCCTCTCTTCCACAGTCATTGCCTGAAGGAATTTCTGAAAACTCTCCTGCAAATGTCCCCTGGATTTATTTCATCATACCACCAGAAAATAATGTTTGCTGCAAGCTTTTTATAGAGCAACTTCTGCATAGCGATCTCAGCAGCAGTCTGTCTGATTCAGTCAGGAGGACTCTGGTCCAGTTAGTGATATGGTTCCTATCTGCATCCCACTAGGATCACATGGGAATATGGGATAGTTACAGTTAGTTCTAGCTACTCACTGAAGGGTTATATTTTTCATCTCTCTTCTACTTCTGGCCATTATCTACCAGTTCATAGATATCTTCATCTTTTTTAGCATCATGTATTTTTAGGCTTAAAAAGTTCCTCTAATAGACCACTTCACATCTCCATTGTTCACCTCTGATATATTGTAATAGAACTATTAGGAACGAAATTAAGAGCTATGACTGCTGCATAGTTTTTTAAATACTGAGGTAGTTTCAAGCTGCTGCGCTAGCCGGGACAGTTGGCTTGCTTGACAATGATTGTTCAAGACACACACAGGCAGGAATAAGCAACCTTGGAAAGGAGCTGCCTGTGTGGATGACAAGATGTAATATCAACCAAAAGGTAAGCCATAAGAGCACAGCACCTTCTCTGGAATTCATTTTTTACTAAACTTAGCACCTTGATAACTGTAATAAACTCCCCACACCAGAAGATCCTGAACAGTGGAGCAAACTGTCAGGTGAGGAGTAATAGGTGGGAAACCAGAGGGATACAGACTTTCCAGAGAGATGCTGAGAAGCACTTTGGCAGGAAGCAGCCCTTTCAATGGCATATTTGGCTGTGACCACCTCCCTAAAAACACCAGTCAAAACTGGCCATGGTCATTTGAAGCACGGGGCATGCTAGCGATAAAAGTGAAATGCCGTGGGTTAGTACCAACCTGTCTGAATGCACTTTCTTGTTTCTGGAGAAAGACTGACAGTATTTTGTTAGAATTTCCCTTCCTCCCTCCTAGGAAATGGGTAATACTTCTGTAGGAACATGCAGATCAGGAGGTCAGCCCTAGCACACACAGCGTGTCAGGTAGGACAGAAGTGTACAAAACTGCCACACTGGTTTCAAATGACTGTTTCTTGTTTACCAGCACATCCACTGCTGACAAAAATAGATTATGCTCAGCAACAATCCTACCCCATATTAGTATTTTGGAAGCCCAAGTCCTCTTGCCTTTTGATACCTAGATGGTCCCTTGCTGAACACCATGACTTTCCCCGGACTGACTGCTGTCATAATGGACATTCATTTAATCATGCTGCCTGACATGGTGCAGAGAATTCTGTAGAAACTGGTGGAAGGGATACATATTGAAGACTTAATGTCTCTTTTCCAATTTTTGTATATTTTGGCTGTACTAAAGCGTTTAAGCTCAGCCTCAGATGTTGATGTCATTCTCTGACCATCAGTAGCTGTGCTCTTTTAATGTCGTCTGGTTTCTGCCATCACAAGAAGACATCTGCAGGACAGCACAAATGTTGGCATCCCTTCAGAAGGATGTTTAAAATCTTTTGTCTTCTTTCCCTTCAAAACCCCAGTACAAGACTCAGAAAGGATGGGTTGGGAAATGAAGGAAGGTTCTGAATGCAAGTCTGATTAGAATTTAAAGAAACCCAACAACACACAATTTGTACACTGCTACCATCTAGTGAATTAAGAGAAAACAAAATCTTCCTCTGAAGTAAGACGAACCATGTTTAAGGGTGTGAAACTTCATCACTGAAGTCACAAGGACTTTTGACATTGACTTTACTTAGAACAAATGGAATAGGCCTTATTAAACATCAGGCATTTGAACTTCAAGCACAATTACAGAAAATATCAAAGACTGTTAGATATATTTGTGATCTGGATAATTGCCATAACTTACCCAGAATAGCACTGAACCAAAAGAGTCATGAGCAATTACTGCTTTAAGCCAGTGCAAATAGATTTATCTGAATGAAAAGGCACATTTTAAGATGGAACAAAGGGAAGCTTTTTCATGGGCACTGTATTTTCTGTTTTAAATTAACTTAAACCTTAGGAACAAGGTTTACACAGCAGCTTTGGAAACTTCAGTTCTGCATTCATGCTAAGAATTTCTCCATGGAGTTCAGCCAACTTACCTTCGGTGCTCCCCCAGAGCAGGAAGGAACAAGTCACTCCCATTCAGTCTTTAGCTCTTATTTAGTGGGCATTTTCCTCAGTTAGGTTTGCACCTCATCTCACAGGTCCGTCACACTGAAATGTCAGTGCTAAAATCCATACCAATTTTGACACTTCCTTTTGCAGAGTCAGCATGTTGCTTACCCCAAGGCGTACTTTTACCTGCAATGTGAATCAAGGGACAAAGTGTGGGGACTAAATGATCTGTACCATATTTGCAGTACTTGATCCTTTCTTCCCTGTCCTATGCCAGGAGAAATCCCTTCCAAAATGATCTGCAGGTTAGATATGAAACCAGATGACTCGTGCCACTGCTCAGCTGCCCTGTGATTTTAAGCAAGACATCTGGAGATGCTAAATATTATCACAGCACACAGAAGAGAGTGGCAGAAGAGAGGATTTCAGCACCTCCGAAAATGAAGGTATCAATTCCACTGTGATTCCTCTTACCTATCTGTAAGTGGAGCTAGGAAGACTGCAAGGACCTTAATTACCTAATATTAATAATAGAAATGCGTTTCTGTGCAATCATGCTTTAATCACTTTCACAATATTTATCATCATTAGTCTCATATCATAGTTCAGCAAAGACACTAAGTGTATTCATAACTCAAAGCATCAGTATTTTACCCTTTACTTCTCAGCCTTAAAATTAGGGACATTATTTGAGGCTCAGCCTAGGATCTGATCTCATAACAGCCCTAATTTTCTCCAACTCTGCTGTGTTTATCTGGACCTAGGATATGTTCAGAAGAGAACATTTTCTAACAATGAAGGACACCCGATTTATTTCCTCTCTCTTTTTTGCTAGCAATTGAAATTGCTTATGTTAAAGCTAGCTGCAATACAGCTCTGCAGAACCTTCTGCAAAGCAGTTTTCTGGCAAAAAAAAAATTATTTTCAGTAATTAAATCTTCCATAAGTATGAGATTTTAGATTCATTACAATTTATATATCATAAAACTCATGCTTTAGAGAAAGAAAAGAGCTTTAACATTTTATCAATGTTACTTCCATTTTGAAAATAGGTTCTTAAATAGCCTATATTAGGTTCTTAAACAGCCTATATAACATTGAAAGCAAAGTCAAACCTTGAATTTTTTTCATAATACAGGGGGTCTTTCTTCAAAAAACCTGATTTTGATATCTTAAAATCTTCCATGAAGTCACAGTGTGTACAATCCTCCTTGCATTGTCCTCCCAGCTTCCTTTAAAAATCCTTGGTTTAGGGATCTCTTTTAACCCTGTTAAATGCACCCTCACAATGGTGGATGCAGCATTTCACAGCAGTGCTGGGCTGTTGGCTGGCTCCCCCTGAGCCTCTTGTAGTGGCTCACCCATATTCTTTTTAACTTGTACTTCATGTTGCTACAATAAAGCACTATTTTTTCTCTCTTCAGGGCAAATGGATGGGTACTGTAAAGCAAGTGATTTTGAAATGCATCTTAACTTCCAGATCAGCCTCTGAGAAATTATTTTCCACTTAGTTTTTTGGAGTCGCTCCAACTCATCCTCATGAGTGAAATATGGGCATCGGAAGGTGGAACAGAAAATACAAAGCTAATGATCTGGTTCATGTTAGTTAGCTCTCTCTTAATCCTTTGAAAGACTGCATTTCCCGTCTCTGGAATTTCCTCTCACTGACAGTTTTTAAAAGAAACAAGACAATATTTGCCATGCATTATACAGCAAGATTAACTGAAGAAGCAAAGATGAACTATTCACCATCCCTGTAAGCCTCTCATAATTAGGTCTACAAGCTTTCAAGGACAGGACTGCCTTAGCATTAAGTACAAGAATTCCCACTGAAATTTAAACTGTTTCCCAGAGTAAAGTTAGAAAGGACAAAGGTATCTAATCATCACCCCTTATCCCCGTCATTTTTACAGTCCTCAGAGCAATGAGTACCTAGGAGCTGCAGACCTGGAGTCACTTTGCTCCTGAACAATGAACACTGCTCCCTCCCAGCCCGCCTTGCACCACAGTTTTTTCAGTTCTGATCTGCCCTTTAGGAGATACCACACTTAAGTGTTCGCACACTTCAAGCTTCTCAAGTGTTGTAGGCTTTTCATGCAGTTTTTTGCAAACCAGTGTTGCCTTCAGCTGAGCCGCCTACAACCTTTTTGCTAGAAGACCCCTCAGGTAGGAGTCTGTGCTCACCTTTTCAACAGTGGATTTTGCATTACGATACTGTGCAAGACAGAGCTGGTAGTTGAACTTGGGGGGCCTCTGTGTTTGTCATTAGTGGGATTAAGAGCAGGTGATGGAGTACGGTACCGCTTGGATCAGTTAGATGAAGCCTGCAGAAGGCTTCCCTGCAGCCAGCATTTCCCCAGTGACAACAGGAACCCACCAGTCAGAGAAGCTTGTCCTGACAGTCGAGCACCTTCCTCTTGCCCACAGGCTGCTGCCATGACACAGAGCCGGGACAGCAGTTACCTCTGGAAGAGAAGGGGGGTTGGTCCTTTCAAGTACCTGTAGCCCACCCATGGCTGTTGCTCTGCTTTCAACCCCCTGCTTGCTCTGCCCAGCCCTGTGTCAGTCTGTGCATAGAAGGCCAGCTGTTCTACTCCCTGTGTTCTCCAGAGGCAGCCTTGCTCCCCCTGGGGCAGATGCATGAGAGCATGTCCACCACTGCTGCTGTCTACAGAAGGCTGCCTGTGGCCCAGTATAACCCCCTGGTACAATTCCTATAGCAAGGAAGTTTGAACCACCACTGCAGGCTGGCTGGAGCTGGTTTCGATAGACAGCCTGGAAAGATATTCAGTAGAAGTGTATCCAAATGAGAAATGAGAATTAAAATAGTATCAACTGTTTTGTCTTGTGCCTCCAGATTTCCTCTTCTGTCCAGCCAGTTCTACCGACAGAGATAGCACAATGATGTACAGTTAGAAGTTATTAGCAGCATTACCAATATACAAACATAACAAACAATATTTGTTTGATGCTGCAAAA